GGCTCGGGGAAGCCGAAGCGCACCGTGGCACTCCGGGCTGGAGAAGCGGAGTCAGTAAATATTTATCCTTATTTGCTACTTGCTGCGAGGGAGGCAGAGGGAGGCTGGGTACCGGGAGAGGAGGGGGGATCGGTGCCGGTCGAGCCGAAGGCTGGGGGAAGTTTCCACGGCGGCGGCTCAGCCCAGGCACGGAGCCTCTCCCCCACGGGAGCGGGTGCCCGTGTCCCCGCGTGTCCGTGACACCCTCGCATCATGCCACCGGCGTGTGCGACAATCCACCACGAGCCCTAACACACGCAGACTGCATGAGAGAGGCACAAGCAGCGTGTCGTGCCGGGATTTTTCCTTAGCCATACGTTACTTCCCCGTCTATCGTTTGCCTTTATTATTTATGTGGTGCCGTGTGATATACATTAGAGCCTTGGATTTGATTGGCGTTTGCGATGACAAGACCTGTTTGTTAAGTTGTAAGGCTTCCTCGGCTCCCTCACTTGTTAAACGAACTCTGGAGGAAGGATGCCACCGAGACATGACAATATAATAAATGTCAGGGATATCCGCAGTGCCGAGATCAAATGATCAATCCTTGTCCCCTAGATAATCATTTTAAATTCTCACAGGGGGTGATTGATTTTTTTTTAAGCCCATTATTAATTGCTTCCTCGATTATTATTTTTTCCCCTCCTCCTGTGGAGGTGTTAACTCTGGTGCTGGGGGCACCTTTGGATTAATTAAACGTATTTTTAGTGTTTTAATGTTCCGATAGTTTTCAGAGCAGCCCCACACTCCCCCGGAAAAGAAACAATGGTCCCTTGCTCCAGCAAGGAGCCTCCTTTGGTTGCGATTCAGAGCGTAGGGTGGCGTGATGATGGGCTCTGATGATCTCAAACTCTAGGCGAGGGAACGAAAAGGATGTAAAAAAGCCAAACGACCAGAAGACAAAATTCCTCTAACTACCAAATAACCCTTCGCGTTAAAGCCCGAGGAGAGGGGATAGAAATAAATAGCTGGAAAGTCGACACCGCGTGAGGATCAAACGGTGGGGATAGGCGCTGGAAATGCCGGCGCTGCTATCTGGAGACGAATTTCAGGCAGCCCTTCAAGCGCACAGAATAACAATTATTCCAGGAGTACAACAAAAATAACTGCAGCCTACCAAGAACAAGGTGGGGAAATTATTGCCAGTCCTATTTCTAATCCATCAGGATATGTTTCGTTGGAAAGAAAAAAATAAGAAAAGAAAAAAGAACGGTTTGATCCTCTATTTGTCGTGTACAAACTCTCTTGTTAACAAATTACCCTTCTGCTGCACGCAGAGAAATAGCTCTACAAACAAAAAGAACATTTTAGGTTTTTATTTCCCCAACAGTATCTTCAGACGACATAATAACAGTGACCAAGAAAACAGATCCTGCAATGTTTACACACGTCTGGAGAGAGACCCCTACCTATGGTACCCCCACACTTCCTAGCCAAGCAACCCACTCCAAATCCTCCGAACACACCGACACGGATCTCCGAGGCACCTCACAACTTGTTTAGCTGCAGTACACGTCCCCCTCCGTGCACCCACCCACCCACCGCTCTCCAGAACAGGCAACACTCTTAAAACAGCATTTTTGGTTTGCAGATTATTTTGACCATTTAATTAAGAGAAATTAGCTAAATAGCAAATCAGGTAGAAATTCCATTGATTACAACAAATGCACGTCTCCGGCTTTTTATTCATTACCTTTTTTATTGAACACTCATTTTCTTTTCCTCTTGACAGCGATACATTTAATTGCAGGAGCACAGTTATTTGATTAGCTGTGGGTCCGTTTTTACTCACAGTGTTGCCACGCACAGGATGTCCTTACAATCAATTAAGTCTTCCTCGACTTTCATTTCTGCAACCCATTTACAGAATGCAGATACCTATTTTCATGTTTTCTTCTTCTCCCCTCCCTCCCTTTTATTTCTCTCTCTCCCTCTCCCCCTCTTTTTCGCTGTTGCCTCTTTGCCTCCCTAAATCAAGGTGCAAAGATGCCAAAGAGTGATGAAATGAAAGGAAAGCCAATTGCTGGACTGAGGTGGGGGAGATAGCTGCTCGGAGTCCGCCTGCGACTATGGAGCAGTCAGTAATTGCTGGAGACAGGGAGAGCTGGGGGTTGGGCTGAGGTAGCCATGTATAAATAGTGTGATCTCAAATTGAAAGGCATAAATAACAGCAGGAGTGATCTAACCCTATACAGCCCATCTTCTACGTGCAAAACCAGCGTGCGGAGGACGGCCACATCTCCGATTGAAAACAAGTGGATCTCTGTGGATAAGATCACCGGGCAGCCATGGAAGAACTTACGGCTTTTGTATCCAAATCTTTTGACCAGAAAAGCAAAGAGAGCAGCAGCGGCAGTGGCAGCAGCAACAAGAAGGAGACGATCACGTACAGGGAAGTTTTGGAGAGTGGGTTGGCTCGCTCTAGGGAGCTTGGAAACTCTGACTCTAACCTGCAGGACATGACTGAGAGCAGCAACCATTGCCCGGTGCATCTTTTCAAAGACCACGTAGAAAGCGACAAGGACAAACTGAAGGAGTTCAGCACGGGCAGAACGGCGGAAGGTAAGAGCGGGGCTGGGCGCCCTCTGCCCCATGCTTGTTGCCGGCAGCCCCAGTCCCCTGTCCCCGGTCTCCGCAACGGGGGAGAGCCGATCACGGCGGCCCCGGCCCCGGCCCCGGCCC